CAATAGTAAAAACAATAAGTTTGCAAAAGTGTTTGCAATTTCAAATGGTGGACAGGGAGATTGCAGAAGAGATGTAGGATGATTATGATGAAGGCATAGAGAAAATAGAAGTAAAATATTAAAGGAAGAGCGAAAAGAAATTGGCTGTTAGCAAAGAAAGGAAAAAGAAAGAGAATCAAGAGAATTAGGTAAAAACAATACAAAACCAAACCAAAATACCCTAATAAAACCCCCTAGATCTGAAAAGATAGCGTCATCAAAAATAGCTGCCTTCAAAAATGCTAGAAATAAAAGACACAGATATGTATATGTATAAATGTCCATGAAACATTCAGCAAACAAACAATCCAAAAAAGAAAGAAAAAAAAAAAAAAAAAGAAATAAAAAAAGAAAAAAAAGTTCTTAATGAAAAATTAAGAAATTGTTTCTGTTGTAGTGTTCAAAAATTGTCAGTTGAGAATATATGTTCATTGTCTGTTCCCAAATGTCTTTTCATTTTTTTTCTTGAAGTATGTATTATATGTAAGAATAGGAGCTTCAGGTTGTCAAATCCTTCCTCTGTTTGTGTTGTTTGTCAAGTTGCTAATTGGAGTTCAAAAATTCTCAGTTCCCTTCTCAGCAGTATGAGGTGGAGAGAGTTGGAGTGTGTTATCTGCTCTACTCTCAGGGTGGAATCACTGTAGACTTCTGTAAGAGGAATTCCCAGAGACAGAGCTCCTGAAGACAGGGGTTAGTTCTAGGTAGGTACAGGGTGCTTCCTGGAGTGCCGATTGGTCTGAAGATTTTAAATCAGGGTACCTCCAGGGCCCAGAAACTGCTGATCCATACTTGGAGACTATACCCCTGGAGTCTACCCTGAGTTGCACTCGTGCCTCAGAGGAGCCAATCCTTTGCCCCCTTCTCCACCCATGGATCCTGCCCTTCCTGGCCTCCTGGGCTCAGTCCCCAGTCACAGTCATTCCTGGATACCCAGTCAAATCCTGACCTGCCCCAGCTGGTTCTGAGAGCTGCCAGACTCAAAGGGAGGGAGGGACCTGGGATCTCTCAGGTCTCTACTCCCCTTATTCTCCTGATTAATACACCCTCTATGCTTAATTTTCTCCTGGTTTCCTAGGTTCACTTTGAGTTGTGTGGTAGGTGTCTGCCAGTTCTGCTTTTTGGACCCAGCTTGGCTTTCCAGATATGGGCTCCTAAACTCACTCCCACAGTCACTGGTGTCCTTAGCATAGTGAAAAGATTGCTCTTCCCTTGGCTCTCCACACACAACAGGGAGATGAGTGGTGTCTTTACCACATTCAAGTATAGTGTAATACGTTCTCTGGATCAGTTCACCAGTGTCTTTGATCTCTGATTTCTCCATACCAAGACACACCATAGTGCCATCTGAAATGCGAGTTCTCATAGTCCCACTCCCCACTTTGTCCAGTACGGATCATGTCCTGCAGGCGTGGGTGTGGGCAGAGGGCTTTCTTCTTTTATTTTATTATCTACAACCTATACTACCTTCTGAGTCCATAAGCTGTTCTGAGAGTCCAGTATTAAATCCCAGTAAAATCCTTCTTTCACCCACCCTACTGTGAAGCTGTTTATCCTCTTTTCTGATCTCACGCCAAGGAGTGGCTTGGAAAGCAAGGTCTTCTACTCTGCCATCTTCCCCGGGTCATAGAAAGCCTCATTGTTGAGGTGCAGAGATCCCAGCTATGCTATGGTAGGTCCAAGTAGAGAACCCACAGCAACCTCTGTTTGGAATTTATTTTTTAATAGTTGCAGATGGATACAAAATCCTTATTTTTATTTGTTTATTTCTATGTGGTACTGGATTAAACCTGGGCCTCAGGTGTGTGAGGCAAGCACTCTATCATTGAGCTACAACTCAGCCCTGTTTGGAAGTTTTAAGAGGAGAGGAAAGACTATAATCTATAGGTTGATTAGCTCTGCCTCATTCAGTTCCTGCTGAACTCTCCTGTGTGCTGATTGGTTCAAAAATTTTAAATAGCGATAATAAGGATGCAGTTAGTTCAATGAATGATAAATTGTTTGTAGCCAAAGATTTATATGTTTTATAGTGTGTTAAAGTTGAAGAGTTGGTGGGGTTTTTTTGGGGGGGAGGGTAGGGAGGGCTTAGACTATCTTGTTCCATCAATCAACTGTCAGACAATCAGAATCTAACATAACACAGGTTAAGCATCTCTAATATGAAAATCGGAAATCTAAAATTCTCCAAAATTTTAAACTTTTTTAAGTGCTAACATTATGACACAAATGGAAACTTCAAAACCTGACCTCATATGTCAGGTTGTAGTCAAGATGCAGGCACATTAAAAGTATCATATAAAATTAGCTTCAGTCTATGTGTATAAGGTATATGAGAAACAGAAATGATTTTTTGTGTTTAAATTTGGGTCCCATACCCAAATTATCTCATTACATATATGAAAATATTCCAAAATTATGAAAAAAATACCAGAAATACTTTTGGTACCAAGCATTTTGGATAAGAGATATTCAAATATAATAATGTGATATCCATGTAGCACTTTTCAATTTACAAAATACTTTTACAGATAAGGTAAGGTAGTAATTATTCATTCCATTAAAAAAAAAAAAGATGTGTTGGGCTGGGATGTGGCTCAAGCGGTAGCGTGCTTGCCTGGCATGTGTGCGGCCCGGGTTCGATCCTCAGCACCACATACAAAGATGTTGTGTCCGCCGATAACCAAAAAATAAAAAAATATTAAAATTCTTTCTCTCTCTCTCTCCCTCTCTCGTGCTCTCTCTCTCTCTCTCTCTTTTTTTTTTTTAAAAAAGATGTGTATATAGATGCTTTGAATCGGTAAAAGTTACTCATGTTTACCTTACAGTGCATGGTGAAACTAGGGCTAGGACTCTGTGAGTCCAGAGACTTCACTAAATATGCTGTCTGATGAGTACTCTCAATCTTCTTGTAATGAAAAATAATTTCCTTGATATCTGCTACATATTTTCTCCCTTACCACTGTCCTTCTCTTCCCTCTCATTTCAGTCTGTTCATTGCCTTGAGTCACCTACACCTCTGAATGGTTGCAGAATAGCAATATACCCAGTACTATACAAAATAGGCAAATGCCCTGTTTGACAGCCTTTCAGTTTCAAATCTTTGAATTAACTTAACTGATGGATTTAATTAGTTTTTGTCTTAATACAATAATATATTTCTCCTGAATATTCTTTTTCTCTTTTGGTTCTCCTATATATTTTAAAATTAATGCACATTATTTTTTGAGTGGCTTTAGGTTTAGTGAAAAAAATGATCAGAATGCCCAGAGAGAATACCTCCTCAAACTCCCAGCATTAATATTTTATATCAGGATACTACATTTGTTAGAACTCTCTTGCCTATGTTGATACATTATTATTATGTAAAGTTTGCAGTTTAAATTAGGGTTTATTCTTTGTGGTGTATTTTCAATGGGTTTTGACAAAATTATAGTAATATGAATGCACAATTATAGTGTTATACAGAGTAATTTCATTGTCTTAAAAAATCTTCTGTGCTCTAACTATTCATCTCTCCCTCTGCCCCAACCCCAGGCAACCACTGATTGTTTTATTGTCTTCATAGTTTTACCTTTTCCAGAATGTCTTTGGAATCATATAGTATACAGCCATTTCAGATTAGCTTCTTTCACTTGGTAATACACATTTAAGTTTTTTAATTTTGATTTTTATTTAGTTGTTGATAGACCTTTATTTTATTTATTTATTTTTATGTGTTGCTGAGAATTGAACCCAATGCCTCACACATGCTAGGCAAGTGCACTACCTCTGAGCCCTAGCCCCAGCCCCACATTTAAGTTTTTGAATGTCCTTTCATAGCTTGAAAGTTCATTTCTTTTTAATCACAGAATAATATTCTATGAAATGGTGTACTAAACTTTGTCCACTCACCTGATAAAGGAAATCTTCATCATCTCCAAGTTTTGGCAATTATAAATGAGGCTACTTTAAACATTTGTGTGCAGGTTTTTGTGAGAGCATAAGTTTTCAGTTCATTTAGGCAAATACCAAGGAGCACAACTGCTGAATTTTGTTTTACTTTTAAGTATAAATAAGGACTCATTATTATCTTTCCTTCTTAGATGTGAAATATAGTAGCTTAAGAGTAATTGGGGCTGGGGTTGTAGCTCAGTAGTAGAGCACTTGCCTAGCATGTGTGAGGCAAAAGGTTTGATTCTCAGCACCGCAAATAAAAGAAATAAAAATAAATGTCCATTGACAACAAAAAAATATTTTTAAAAAGCGATAACTCCAGATTAACATCCCCTTTTTGATTTTATGAAATACTTTCAATTTCCTATAAGCTCTCAGATGTTTTCATTACTCCTTGTTTATTTATTTATTTATTTATTCCCAACCACAACTTTTTTATTTTTGCTTACACTTGACTCTCGGGCTGGGGTTGTGTCTTAGTGATAGAGTGCTTGCCTAACATGTGTGAGGCACTGGGTTCAATTCTCAGCACCACATATAAATGAATAAATAAAATAATGGTCCATCAACAACTAAAAGAAATATTTTTAATTTACTTTTTAAAAGATTTACTTAGTTTTTGTTTGTTTTTTAATTGATTTTTGAAAAATAAATGACAGCGGAATGTATTACAATTCTTATTACACATATACAGCACAATTTTTCATATCTCTGGTTGTATATAAAGTATGTTGACTTCAATTCATGTCTTCATACATGTACTTTGGATAATGATGTCTATCACATTCCACCATTTTTGCTAACCCCCTGCCCCCTCCCTTCCCTTCCCATCCCTCTGCCCTATCTAGAGTTTCTTTATTCCTCCCATGATCCCCCTCCCTACCCCACTATGAGTCAGTCTCCTTGTATCAGAGAAAACATTCGGCATTTGTTTTCTTGGGCTTGGCTAAATTCACTTAGCATTATCTTCTCCAACACCATCCAGTTACCTGCAAATGTCATGATTTTATTCTCTTTTATTGATTTTTCAGTGTGTCAGGAAGCTGTCTGGGAAGCCTTCAGGACTTTTTGGGATCGACTTCCTGGGCGTGAGGAATATCATTACTGGATGAATTTGTGTGAGGATGGAATCACAAGTGTGTTTGAAATAGGCACCAATTTTAGTCAGTCTGTGGAACACAGAAACTTAATCATGAAGGTAAGTGTCGCAAGGAGGGGAAGAATTGTTGCACCTTCATAGAAGCACACAGTGCACAGCTAAGTTCTGAGGAAGGAAGAGCGAGTGACAAAACCCTATATTATTTTGTTGTTGTTGTTGAATTGGGCTGTCCTAATGAGCTACCTGGGGTGTAGCTTAGTCTTTCATCCCAGTCTTTTACCTTGCCTTTATAACAAACATTGCTGAGTCAAACAATAGCCCCAGCTTTGTTTATAAATGTAAATAGTTGGAATAGTCAACAAAAGCTTAGTAAAAAGTGCGGATTTGTGAGAGTCAAATTTTTTTACATTTATTTTTAGTTGTTGATGAACCATTATTTAATTTATTTATTTATTTATATGTGGTGCTGAGAATCGAACCCAGTGCCTCACACGTGTTAGGCAAGCACTCTACCACGGAAAAACAACCCACAAATATTTGACACAAGAGTCAAATATTTTTGAAATATTATGCGCATATTAGTCAGAGTGAATACCAATGATTTCAGTTAAAACATAGGATATAGTCCATTGAGTAAACATTTAGTGAAGCATACATATGATTCTTATTAATTATTTGCTTACTTATTTTCCTTTCTCATTAATTTTTTTCCTTTAGTTTCTTCTTAGCAAAATATAAATAAACATGCATACTGACAAATTACCTTCCCACTTTTCCCTTTTCATATACCTATTGCACATGTATTTAGAACGAGAAAATTAAACTGCAGACATATGTGGCAAATTGTTCATGCTCTCTAATGACTCCTACATCTCTTTGCCCAAGTCCTATATGTCCTCAGCTCAGGTATAACCTCCCCTGTAAAAAAAACAACCTTAGTATAGCCGATTTAGCTCTTCTAGTCTCCTGAGTTCCCACCATTCTTTACTTTTTCTTGATGTTGTAGTTCTTACATTTGATTATTACCAGTTGTATATTTGACTGAACTAGACTATAAATCAGAAGGCAAAGATTATGTCATATGTTAATTTTTACATACCCATGATATAGTAATATGCAATAGATAATTTGCTAAAATAAAAGTTTATAAGCAATAGCTAAAATGTCTTTTTCCTGATATTATTTATACTTCATGAATATTATTTCAAATACTAGTTGTATTGTGTACTTGGAAGGGCTAAAAATTATGTAAATAACAGCTATTTTCATTTGGATCTAATCAAATTATATTAGTACAACTTAGAGTGGTAAAATAAATTATATTCTATTTTTGAACTTTTATTTCTAGTAAAGGCATTCTATTATTTTCTTTAATATTTGATCTCACAGACAGATGATCTCATTCAGTGGGCATAAGCTGGCAAGAAAAGAGTGATCTGATAAACATGGGTAAAGACACATTTTGTTGTGTCATAAATATTTTAAAGGCATGCAGATTTTTGTGTTTTAAAATTATGTGTAGATGTAACAGGGAGAACATGGGTTTAATTTAAATGTGTTTATTTGAGCTGTCTGCGTGAAAAATGAATTGCTTGATATTTAGCTATGAAACCAAGGAGAATGGTCCTGGTTCTACATATAGCTATAGGAATCACCAGACCTGAGGTAGTAATTGTAACCTCAAGAGTGGCTGAGATTATTCTGGGAATCTGTAGAGGAAGGGCAAGAGTGAATTGTTTATTCATATCATTATAAGTGTTTAGGTTAATAGCCTTTCCATTTTACAGACAAGAAAACTAATGCCTGGCACCAGAAAGATTTGGAGATTTGATGTATTGCTAGGGAGGGTGAAACTGAAACTTGAAATTAAGTTAGTGTTCTGATTCTAAGTTAGTGTTCTTTTTATCATATTGGTCTCAAAATAAAACTAAATTAGAAGAAATTTGGTGACAATTTGACTTAGAAGACCCCCTGAGGAATAACCCAATTACTGATTTGTCTCTTTGTCTAGATTCTGGAGAAACAGATTTATCAGTTCTTCAGTCTACATGTTTGTGCTATTATAGGATGGGTATTATATATAAATTCATTAGATCACAAAATTCTTTTATTATAAGTTTATGGCAGGTTAATGTGAAACTCTACCCATCTCGAGCTGGGCATGGTGGTGCATGCCTGTAATCCCAGCATCTTGGGAGGCTGAGACAGGAGTATCGTGAGTT